TGTTCTACATAAGACTATTGATTACGTGTTGATGTTGGAGCAGAGAAACCTCTAACAGTGGTCTGCAGTCTTGGTCCTCGAGGGCCACCATCCTGCATGTTTTAGATGTTTTTCTGCTTTGACACACATGACTTGAATAGCAGAGGGATCACAATACTTCTGCAGAACTTCAAGACCTACTGAAGAGCAGGGAAACAACTACAACTTGGAGGGTAGTGGCCCTTGAGGACCAGGATTGAGGACCACTAAAGGTAGTGGCCCTTGAGGACCAGGATTGAGGACCACTAAGGGTAGAGGCCCTTGAGGACCAGGATTGAGGACCACTAAAGGTAGTGGCCCTTGAGGACCAGGATTGAAGACCACTAAGGGTAGTGGTCCTTGAGGACCAGGATTGAGGACCACTGGGATAGTGGCTGTTCAGAACCAGGTTTGGGCACCACTGGTGCAGGGCTTTGGACACTTGAACATAAGGATGCCATCATGTTTTCATGGACACATGCTTATAAACACATCAGCTGTTTTAACTCCTTTACACAAAACAAAATTTTACACAAAAATATAAATGACCCAAATCAACCAGGTGGTCAATATCATAACTATATTCAACATTTAAAAGTCATCAGGATAAACTGAAGTCTCCATAGGAAACACAAAGAAAGTATGGCAAATGTAATAGGGATTTTTCAGCTGGTGACATGGAGAAAAATAGGAAAAGGGGGGAAATACCCCCCAAAATGTCTGAAGTAGGTTATGGTAAAGTCTGTAAATGCATCCCAATTGATCCCTTGGATAACTTAAGCAGTCGGTGGCATGAAACATCCCTCTCAAAGGATGGTTGGGCCGTGTGTGGTGGAGGTCGGGGTGCCACTGATGGCGTTGAAGATGCCCATAGAGTCGGACAGAGTACTCCTGGTACCGTCCTCCGATGGGGTTATCTAGAAGCAACAGACAGCTCAGTTCAAAACTCAAGTGATTTTAGGACACTTTGAGTTAAATCTAAAGAAACAAATATTTATATTACATGTTGCCAGTTCACAGCTAAACCCCAATTAAAGCAGTTTACAATGAACATAATCCAGAATATGTTATTCAAATGAACTCCAATTGAAATTGTGCCGATTCATTTCAGTACAGTCTATTCCACTTCACTCTCACCAATTTATTTATCTCTACCTGACAACAAAAGTAGCTTGAGTGTGCTTTAAATCGAAAGTCTACCAAAAAGTCCCTGATTTTATTGAAATTCACCTCAGTTCACTCCAATTTAATTCTACTGATTTACATATCCCCAAGTCATAGCAATAATGTTTAATGACACTAATTAAACTGACTTAAAATAAAATTATTCCAATTTAGTTTTTCTAGCTTAACTAAATTGAATTGGACACTAAAAATTCATGCTGAAAGCCATTTCAGGGCAGTTCCTATAGAAAATAATCCAGAATATTCCAATTGAATTAATTCTAATCCAAACGATTCAAATGCAAATCAGCCCAGTCCACTTAACTTCTATAGCTCAGGTCATTTATGGGCATTTTACAATGGATTTAACTCAAACTTTTCCATTCCAATTGATTTCAATTCCTTTCTGTTCAATTTATTTAAACTCCATTTACATAATTTGCACATTATACTTATAATAATAAGTAATTCTAAGGCATTTTATATCAAATATATCATTTGAAGACACTTTACGTTACTTTTGAAAAGTACAATGTAAATAATCTATTCTAAGCTTTTCAATTACCGGTAATAGCACACACCCCTTCTCCTAACCTAATTTTGAAAAAAATATCAAAACATTACAATCAGATAGTCTTTTTCCCCCTTTTCTTCTTATCATTCCATTTAAATAAAGGTTAATAAACGAATAATACATTTATTCCATTTTTTTACACACAAGTTTATCTAAAATTATTTACACACTATCTCATTTGACCCTGATACGAACCAATTTAACACAAAAAGAAGACTTTTCAGGCAGTCCCTAACCTTTCCTACTTCATAATTTTTATAAAATAAAATCATTACCATCCAATCTGCTCAGGCCAGCACAAAGACAGCAAGACATAAAAGACATGGTTAGTAAAAAAAAAAAAAAAAAACAGAAAAATGTACCTTTAAATGTGAACCTATTTTTACGGACACAAAGTTTGTTTTCTCAGTCAGGCCTCAGACTGACGAAGCCTCTTGGATGAGGGGCGAAACGTTTCTTTTTAACAAAAAAACGAAGTCCAGATGACATGATTCAACCTTTTTTGCTATTTTTACGGAGTTAGCACACAATAAATATGCTTTTAAACACCACCAGAAATCAGGTAAAAAGTTAGACCTTCAAACATTTTTCTAAAAAAATGTATTTTTGTAGACTAAACTTTGTTCCACAACAAAAAATGTAAGTAATGTGAAATTATAAACTGTATTTGAGTAACCTGCAGGGTGCTTTGAACTGAATGTTGGCTCATATTAACCTTTATTTTTGGCAATCCTACCTGTTCGTGCATAATGTTTGACAGCTCCCTTATCACGTCTCTGTAGTTGGCCTTCATCTCATCATGATATTCTTGTTGGTCTTCTTTAATCAACCGCTCATTCACCCCCAGCGCCTGTCCGCAAGCATCCACAAACTGTCTAAGGAGGAAGGAACACGCATTTTAAGGCAGTTTGTAAAACCTGCTAAGCAACAAGCAACACAAGCGAAAGATTTATACAAAGACAGAGTTTCCCCTACCATTATACAAGCAGCACCCTCCCCGCCACTGACGTAGTGCTAAGCTAGCAGCGTGCAATACAGGTGTGCTAGCTAAAAAACTAGAGGTAGCACTCTGCTTCTCTCACACTGAGCCCCCTGCCCCAAAACTGGCGGTACACACAGAGCGCAACACAGATGTGTCTCCGTCTCAAAGGCAAGTAATACTGAAAGATACACATATCTTGAACGTACAAGTAAATCCAGAGAAAAGGGCTTGATTGAGGAACTGCTGTTGAACCATGTGCTGCAAGCTAAACATACATCTGTTCGAAAACCCGATCATTTGGAAAGGCCTCGCCAAGGCCTCCTAGCTGACAATCGGAGCACAGTCCAAGCCATGAGGTCAACTGAGCCAGGATTATTACAAGGTTCAGATCTGAAGCAAAGTTTCTTCCCCAGCGCTCCCCTTCACAATTCTCAAATTAGAGAAGTTTGGCAAAATCAAAGACTTTTTGAAGAGCTGGTCTTCTGACAACAATGAGCAGTCAAAGGGCCTTAGTGAGGGAGGAGGCCAAGAAACTGATGGTGAGTCTGACAGCTAAGTTCCAGAACCAGAACTGCAGTCCTTCACAAAGCTGGACACTGGGGTTCAACAGAAGCCTAAAACAAAACACCTGAAAGCTGCTTGAAGGACTTTCAGACTGTGAAGGACAATGTTCTCTGGTCTGAGGAAACTGGGACTGAACTATTAGGACTGAATTCTAACATTTGGAGGAAACCAGGCTCCTGCCCAACATCATTATCACAGTGAAGCATGGTGGTGGCAGTATCATGCTGTAGGGGTGGTTTTTCAGCAACAAAAATTGGGAGCGCTCAGACTAGGCCACAGGTTCACCTAATGGACAGAGATTGAGAGGATTTGCCTAAAGAAATGGCAGAAAATACCCCAGTCTAAGGCTACGAAACTTGTTATATCAAACCCAAAAGACTCAAGACTGGAACTGCTAACAAAGGTGCATCAACTTAGGACTAGGTAAAAGATCTGAACACTGATGGAAATGGGATTTCCTTTTATAAACTTACAAAATTCTGCCTGTACCTGCTTTCATGTGTAGATTATTGAGAGGGAAAAAATGTAACAATCATAGCAACAGGATACAACTACAGTGTAATAAAAAGTAAAGGGGAATGTTCATTCTACTAGAAGGTAAAACCTTAGTCCGTTGTAGACATATTTTATGTGGAGGTGTCCTTGTTTGTAATCAGTACCTGAAGACTTCTTTAAGCTGTTTGACCTTGTTGTCTGGATATTTCTTGGCACTGCTGTCATCTAGGAAGGCTCTGGCATATGCAAGAGGCCCTGCATTCACCTGGAAAACACCAAAGGTCAAAGGATTTAAAGACTTTTTTTAGGCAACATGACTTGGTTGTTTTCCTTATTGTACCTGCACGCTGATGCTGCCCTGCAATTTGAGTTGCAGACGGATCATGTCCACCTCGGAGGCTGAGCACAACAGTCGTAGTTCAGCCACCTTAGCACTCATCTCATCTATGGCCACTTCTATGGGGCTCAGGTCTGTCTGGTGTTGGTACATAACGGCTATACGCTTCTTAACGTAAGGAAAACAGTGGGTTGCTGGGTGGGAAGGTTTGAGAAAAGCATAATGTCAGTCAGCAGCAACATCCTGGCACTACCATGAGGCCTATGCTGCCTTGGTATCATTCATTTGCAGAATAAGAAAAAAACATCCACAACATATAAACAGCCACCAGAAAGACAGGTCATAATGAGTCAACATGATTATTAATGAGATAAGATAACAAGTGAACTTTGGGATGAAGTGGCTACAAAAGTAATAAACTTCATTTGACTTATCAGGCTAAATTTGCAGAGGTTGGCATAAACAAGATACACCATGGTCTATAATCAACAACAGACAACAAGGAAGAAAATTCTGTTTATTAGTTGTTACTTCGATGAGCAGTGCTAGGCCTGGAACACAGCTGATTTCATCTCAACAGACTGAAGATTTGTAAGAGCTCTATGAAGGTAGTCTCATAAAAATATGGCAATGTTGGGTTGAGGCCACGACACTACGAACAGATCAACTGAATTGCTACTAAACCAACAGAAGTCCACATCTGCATGTTTCTGAGGCTGCCACCAGTCAGGAACAAGCTATGATGTGTAGACATCAAAGTTCATGCTCAATCATCCAGGCACAAAATCCAATAATGGTCAATCAGGTCATCTGGACAGTTTCTTTTTTGTGGAAAGACCTTTCGCCCTCTATCCGGAGGGTTTCATCAGATTGAGGAGTCCCAAGTAAACTGTTTTCCCCACTAAACAATTAACTCCTTTAGTGGACCAACTTTGATGTCTTGAACCACTTTGGCTGTGGCTGCCTGCCTGGGAGGAGTCGACGGGGGACAGGACAACCCCCAAAAACCATCTTATCACCAGCAAACTGGTTGGTCCACTAAAGGAGTGAACGGCTTAGTGGGGTAAACAGTTTACTTGGGATTCCTCAGACTGATGAAGCCCTCCGGGTAGAGGGCGAAACATCTTTCCACAAAAAAGAAACTGTCCAGATGACCTGATTGACCATTATTGTATGATGTGTAGACATACTGTACATTTGTGACGTACTACCACAGAGGCATGGTCAATTTCTTAAGGTAGTACATCTCTGGGCTAACAAATTTTCTGCTGCCATCTCACTGAAATCGGAGTGTTTTGGGGACTAAACGACCAGGGATCTGTGTGGTCATAATTTTCTCAACCAACCATCCATCCATTATCTTGACCTGCTTCCTTTTCGGCTCGCTGGTGCCCATATCCAGCAGTCACTGTGCAAGAGATGAAGTACACCCTGTACTGGTACAACTCCATCACAATCACAGCCTATTTTTGAACGCTCAGCTTGTAAAATTGTATTCTAGGCCATGCACATTATTTTGTTACACACATTCGCCCACATCATACCCGCCTCTGCCTACCTTGGCAGCTGCCCCCACGTTTATGCATTATTCTGATGAAATACACAGTTGAAATAAAAATAGGCAGATTTGGACTGGTTTTAAATTGTAATTATTTATCATCTGTGTGGTTTTTAGATCTGGACAATTAGTGTTGTAGCCTCGAAGGTTTTCTGTCATAGGAGACCTCAAAATACAGTTTTAGCACTTTAGTATTGACGTAAACTAAACTGAGAAGAGTATGAAATCCCCCAAACTACTTTGTAACTAAACAGCACAAAATGTAAAGAAATGTGTTTGTGATCATTTCTTTGTTGTAACAATGCTTCTTGGCAATAAATCATACCACTGGAAAACCTGTTTATTTCCTTTTAATGGTGCCACATTTGTTGGAAAACTGCATTTGTGGGTTGAACAGCAGAGTTGGATATGTTACGCGCCCATAAAAAACTTGCATTTATGAGGCTTAAGGGCCTGGCACACTCGATCCAAAGCCGTAAAATCAGCTCTAATTGACGTAACTGCGTGACAAAAATTGCGTCATTTTGTTCTCAGTGTAGCTTCGCCCGCCCTTTCTCGACACAAGTCCCAGACAAAACTTTTTTCTCACAGGTGTATGCGCCAAGTGTTTGTCGATGTGGAAAAATGCTTGGAAATTCATCTATACGACTCTTCAAAATACACTAAGGTAGTCCAATAGTCCAATGGCCGAAAATTCCTGGATGAAGATCGCGCAGACATTGCGCATGGAGAAGTCGGTTTTCTGAAAAGTGTGACGCTTTCTTCCTGATAGATTAGTGTCCAAATGGGGAATGCAGGGACAGAGTGGAGAGAACCTAGCAGGAAGAAACTCAATGTATATTGCAGCAGTAGGGCTTTTCCCAGGAGCTCTGTGCCGTGTGTCTTGTGGACAACGAAAGGTGTGTGTGTGAAAACGAACGTCCCGCAACCATGTGACTGCGAGTTGACCGCTCAGTTTCAGATGGAGTATGCAGGGCCCTTTAGTTTTCTGGAGTTCCTGATAGAAACTACCATTCTCAGTGTAGCACATACTTGTAAGAATGGTCCGTCGTTTACACTGCTCCTCCACGCCTCCCTGCTTTTTGCCCGATACTGTGAACGGCGTCTCGAACACAAAGCGCCTGATGTTATGGCTCTTCTCAAAGTCGGTCTTCCTGTCCTCCAGCTCCTTGTCGTCTAGGTAGGGGGTGACATGCGTCACCTGAATGTAGGCGTATTTTAAGTCAAGGTCCTTGGGGTTCACCTTTGGGTGCAAACGCAGAAAATTCAGCAACTAAAACGTTTCAAACACAACCAGTCTACCATTTGAACACACACACAGATATGACTCCACCTTGCCAGAATCTTGTATGATTTTCACGTTCTCTTGACCAAATTTGTCCGAGTAGAGCTTGAGAAGCCTTTGGGAAATTTCAGATAGTGGAGTAAACTTGGGCTCCTTGTAGATGTATTCCTTTCCATCTTCATCCTCAAAAAAGCCCTGTAGTGCAAACACAAGAACTTAGATTTCAAATGAGTTGCTGGTGGGTGCAATTGAATTGATGCGTGTTCCGATTACAGTGCCATCTAGTGGTGGAGTTGTATACTGCAACCAATAGAAAAGGGCCTGCCATTCTTAATGTAAAATGGTACTTTTGAATTTTTTAAATTTGTGGTATTTTCTATGGAAGTGAAAATACAATACAAGAATAAACAGGTAGAATGTTGTTTTTATTACACTTTTGCTAACAGAGGTTTTTTTTTTTGATCATACAAATTGTAACACTTGTTTTGGGAGGGTTCTGTGGCGAAGCTTTAAATAAATATTTTTTTCTGTTGTACATAGCTATATGAAAAGCCTAAGTTTGGAGAAATAGAGTTGGAGTTAAACAGAACCGAAGAACAAAAGGATAGTCTGAAACAGTTAAAACAAAGTAGGATGCTGCCATCTGAAAACAGCTACAATCTCCAAATGTTCAAAGCATTTCATGCAAATGCTAACATTAAAACCTTTAAGTATCTGTAATAGCCTAGAAAAAAAAAGTACCCGCCCCCACTAATTATAGAGAAAAATAACTAAATATCAACTTGTTTTGTAAAAAGGTTCATAGACATCTACTTTACTGACCATTATTGGATACCCACTCTATCTCTACTTTCCATTTAAATAACTAAATCACATCAGTCTGTAAAAAATATAAAAATTGTGTGTTCAAAGACTAAAGGACCTCTTATATACTTACCGCAGCCTTGGAAGGCAATGAAAAAAAAAGACAAAATAATTTCTGTTAAAAGTCTTTTAGTAGGAGCGCACTTGGATTCAGATGCTCTTAGTCAGCGCACATACTTCATGCTTTTAATACGTGCTTCTGAACCTCACCTGTCCAAAGAAGGCCACTCTGAAGTAAGTTCCCAGCAGCCTCTTGCCGGTGTGCATCACCTCCATCACTTTCGTATAGGCCCGGTGGAGCGTATCGTACAGGTGGGTTAGTTTCTGGTTGACAGATTTAAGAAAAAAGTTAAGTCTCCGAGCAACACGAAGCACTACAAACCAATAACTCTGATGTCCAGTGAACTGTCAGGCCATGTTTTATTGTAGGTAGTTGTAGATGATACACCTGATTGAATTACCTCTTCCAATTTCTGAAGAAGCCTGTGAATCACCCATTGATTGAAATCAGGTGTGCTGGAGCAAATAAATAACTAAAACATGCAGGATAGCGGCCCTCGAGGATTTGGGTTGGACACCTCTGATCTACATCAACGTTTTAAGTCAGTGGGCCAAAATTAAACCTATCTCATAGGGATTGAATCGACTACTCGACGAGTCGATTCTAGGACCTCTCGCGAGTTTTAGAATTTCACATCGACTAGTCTCAGTCAGGGGCAGCACGTTGGCGCAACTGGTAGAGCTGCTGCCTCTCAGCGAGCAGGTCCCTGGTTCAAACCCCGGTCCAGGGGCCTTTCTGGGTGGAGTTTGCATGTTCTCTCCGTGCATGCGTGGGTTTTCTCCGGGTACTCCGATTTCCTCCCACAGACCAAAAACATGCATGTTAGGCTGATTGGTAACTCTAAATTGTCCCTAGGTGTGAGTGAGAGAGTGAATGGTTGTTTGTCTCGTTTGTCTCCATGTGGCCCTGTGATGGACTTGCGACCCGTCCAGGGTGTACCCCGCCCCTCGCACAGTGATTGCTGGACATGGGCACCGGCGACCCCCGTGACCCAAAATGGAATAAGCGGGTAAAGAAAATGGATGGATGGATGACTCTGACTGGTGACGTCATCAACTAGTGGATGTCGACTTTAAAAAATATGTAGTCGTTCAACCCTTATGGGCCACACAAAATCACTTCAAGGACCACAAATGTTCAGGAGCTGCACTTTGGACGACCTTGTTTTAGAGAAACGGAGCTCTTTATTTTTGATTTTTCTGTTTCTGTTTGGTTTTGTTCCATAAATAATGTCACAGTCTGTTGTGCATTTCTGTACAACAGAGGTTAGATCTGAATAATCTTAGATGCTGGTGGAAACCTGAGTATTTCTATAAATGCCCTAGAATTGAAAGAAGTTTTGAACTTGATTTATTTGATCCAAATTGATTCAAATTAAATCATGCTAATATTTTGCTAACACTTTAAATAAAATTTTAGCTAAAAACCACATTTCCAGGAAGGTGAATGTTCGACTACCTCAAAGTCCCTGCGCTCTTCGTAGATGGGAATGATGAGTCTGTAGACGTCAGCAATGAGCTCGTAACGCTCAGCTTTCCACAAACCATCAGCACACTCCTCCAGCAGCTCCAGCAGCACCTCCTAAACACACCCACCCACAGAAAATGAATATATTGAAAATGTTGCCATGCACACTGCCGTTTCAGCTTTAAAATGTTTACAGCTTGCAGACACAAAGAGCAAAGACAGCAGATGTGAAATGCGAATGAGACCAATGAGAATTGGTCTTCTTGTTTTAATATTGGGGGATGAAGCAGCTTGTAAAGAGAAAGTGATGCCACAGAAGATGGATTTTCGTCACTAACAAAAATGTTGACCAGATGGTAAAATTTCACTTATTTGGCAGCCATCACACAGTTATCAGTCACCCTGAAGAAAAGGGTTAAAGTCCAGCCTCAAAGTATACGACGAGTCTAATTTCATCCACAAACGAGACAAAAACATTTGCTCTTTTTTGTTACATAGAAATAAAAGCTGCTCTACACGGTTATTGCACATCATGTCATTTCAACTGAAAGACGTATATGGGCTCTAAAAGCTTGGTCAACATTGGCAACTGGCAGGTACACAAAGAGCAAAGTACAGGAAACGTAGAAAAGAGTAGGACATAAAAGTCCAACCTCACTGAAGTGGACATCCTGCATCCCTACGTCCTCCATCATGGCTGCCTCCTCGTCGATGTTTGGAGTGATGACCCGGAAAACAGAGCAGCCCTGCCGAAACATACCTGACATAAAGAATATCCCGTGAGTCAAAAGCTGTAAACCATTGTTTTTCTTTGGTTATAAACATTATTCTGTTTTGGGACACGAAGGGACTTGTGAATTGACTATTTTTTATTATTAATTAATAATTAATATCAGTTATGTGTCTTTAGTGTGTGTAAACATCTGGTCAAAATTACGTATATACAGTATACACACTATATATATATATATATGTATATATACATACACACATATATATGTATATATATATATATATATATATATATATACACACATACACACATATATATGTATATATATATATATATATATATATACACATACACACATATATATATGTATATATATACACATACACACATATATATATGTATATATATATACATACACACATATATATATGTATATATATATACATACACACATATATATAT